CTCCCCCTCACCCTTGCGTAGGTCTGAGTTTCGGTCAGGTCATACAAAGCTTGCGACGTTCTGGTTCAACGATAATCGCCGCAGACAATGAAAAGGGGGGAGGGGGTGGCGTAGAGTGTGGGCGAACAGAACTACAGGATGCGCCCACGCTTGGCGTCGTTTACGCGTAGGGAGAGACTAGAACGTTGTGGAGTGGCGAAGTACTCACAGGGCCTACCAGGCTCTGAATGCGCTTATTAGAACTCGCCAGCCATTCAAACCCAACTCCAGGTGTTGCAACCCCCAACGGTTCGAAACCGTGACCTGCTGGTTAGACAGTGAGCGCTCTAACCATGGGACTAGAGGCTCGTTGTCCCATCGGTTTAGAATACGAACACCGCTACGAATAACCCAGAAAAGGCCATACCAATATCCCTAGTAGTTGTTGGCAATCTCACTTTGCGTATAATCCCTTACTTCGACACCAGCTGATCGGCATCCTTAGAGGAGAATTGACAGGGTAAGTGAGTGGCTGAGAGAAAAATAGAATGGGGAGCAAACAAGAAAATATTGTCCAAATCACAATTGTAGGAGAGAGAGGGGGGTACGCTTTATTTTGAAAACATCATTCCAAAATTTTCATCAAAAAACATACTCCATTCAAAATGTATAAAATTAGGCGCACAAACTCACAAAACCGGGGAAACAAAAGTAATCCATAATTGCCAATGGCTGCAATTGTCGACATCGTAAATAGATGTTCTTTGAATAGTCGTCATATATAAGCCAAATTGGACTGCTTGCAAAACGGCGCTAGCGTCCTGACCTCGTGCACTCATGAACTCATTGTAGTTCAAATAAACGAATAGGGATAAAAATCCGTGAAGTAGGCCAACGCTGGAGTTGGGTATCACTAGCTGACGACGGCTAATGAGCCAGAAATGCCATTCTAGTGTCTCATGTCTTCGTGGGTAATGTCTTTCTGCCTATATCCTAGCCGCCTCGCCATGGAGGCTCGAGTGAGAGCTCTAATGACAACATGGACGGACGAGCAGGTTCTTTGACAGATTGGTGTACGCATATCTGCTACAATGTACATGCGAATGGATTGAGGAAAAAATGGTGGCTCAGTCTGAAAAACGGTCCACCAGTACGCTCGAAAACCTTCTCGACCTTTAAAGTGTTGTAAAATAACAAAGTAGGGAAATAATATAAAAATCGTGCGACCGCAGCTGCTTTATACGTAGTCATACTCATTGCCGCTGATCAAACGCCTCCTTCCCCAATACGACATAAACGTGCACTCGCGACGGTTCCACTGTGGCGAACGAAGACGTCTACCCCGTGCCCTTGTGAGTCGACGCTGCAGCGACAACTTGCACGGCATCTGTCGCACTTTCTCCTCTCTTATCCGCAATGCTCTGACGCTCAGTCGGTGTCAAGATGACTGGAGTTGGGCGCGGACCACACGCAATCTTTTCCCTACTGTAAGTATCACACTCCAGTATGAGCTGTTGTGCTCCTACTCCAAAGGCCTGTTTTAAAGTTATCACTCTCATGCGTACTTGCAAGCGTGCTCAGCCAATACACGTGAAGACTGAATCACCCCGGGAACTCGCTCAGGGCACTGCAATGCATGTCTCACCCTAATTTGAGATGCCAGCCTCACGGCTCCGAATATGTGTCCTTGTCTGGCTATCAGCTTGTCGTAATCTTTACTCTCGTCTTTCTGGACAGAATAGAATACCCAGTCTATTCGAGACCGAGCCTGAGAGGTATATTGGCTAGGTTCTCTCTATGGTCCAAGCTGCCGTGGAAGGGTGAATCGGGTCTCACATGTATTACCGCCTTAGATACTATGTGTATGTCTATTACCCTTATATTCACTGAACTAC